ACTGAGAACACTCTTACAGCTGGAAAGTCAAGATGAAACACACAACACTTCCTCTGCTGCTCCTTCCCCATAAACTTGTGAGCACAGATAATTTTAGCTGATAGGGCACTGTAAAAATTTAGATTGTTGTTAAATTAAGATTATATTTCCCCCCCTAGCTTCTTTCATAACAAAGATGACATTATCTTGTCCTCTGTCACCTTGTTAAGAATAGTAAGAAATAGAGTATTGTCTTATTTTTTCAGACTGAAGCACTGACAAAAGAAAAATAGAACAAAAAGGAGAAAATGAAGTAACACTGCAATAACACTTGAGTCAAGAAAGCACCCTTCTGTTTCTTTGCAAGTAACTCTACTAATAATTGTGATTCATTATTACAGATAAATCTAACTTTTTCTTTGTTATTGTCTTCCTGAATTGTTTAGATGAAAAGCACTAGGAAAACTATGTATAATCTTTCAACTATATGAATGCATGTGCAAACTTTATGACTGTGAAATCAAATAAATCAATATTTAGGAAGCTCAGAACAAAAGACTGAAGTTATTTATGGTGACTTGCATTAAGCAATTTGCTATGTGCTTAGCATTGTTTATCTAAGCTAATCATGGAAGATTAACCTTTAAAAATTTATATTGCAAAGTATGTTGATCCTATTCTTCGTTCTTAATGCTTTTAGCTCTGTAAACAGTATTTGACATTTACCCATACTAATGTCATGGACAAATGTTCCCCCATCCTGCAAATAATAAAGGTTTGAATTGTTTTCTCTTCCTTTTTTTTCAGGAAGGAGTTGAAGATTGGCAGCCATGCAGTCTTTTTTTTTTTGTTTTAATGGTGAATTAAATTATGACATGACTGTAGAGATCATTAGAAATTAAATTGTTAATACTAAAAAATATTAGGCAAGCATTCAGATTTTTGCAGTGGCCATTGTTTCCTCATTTTATTTGAACAAAGGAAAAATACTTTGAAGAATGAATATGAGAAAAAGTGGTTCTAGGGCATGTTCTGATCCTAAATCACAGGGGTACTGAATTATGTGCATTGGTATGAACCTCCAAGAGTCTTAATGCTTTTTCTGTGATGCCATATATGTTTATACCCACTTCTGATCTTTGTCTTCAGGTAGTGCTGTAATATAAACATTCAATATTGCAAATGGCAAAGAAATAACAATAATTCATGATAGAGTAAGTGTTTATCATTCCAATTTTCTAGTACCTTTTTTAAACAGGAGTCTTGGGGAACAGTCAATTTTAAATCACTCTGCTAAGCTTTTTTTAATCTGTGGTCTGAGCACCCCTCCTGCTCCATAAATTTCTTTGAAGAAAAAGGCAATTAAGAAAGGAAAGTTCAAATGTTATGCAGCAACTTTCATGCAAGAAGTTATAGAGATTAAAACAATATTGGTAACCTTTGAAAAGAGAATTTATGGGACAGGCTCTGTAGCAGTGCTAATCCTTGACAGTAACACAAAAGTGCTACAGATCTTTACTTCATACAAGACAAAAGCTTTCATTAACATTTGATGGAATTGGAATATATTTCTTTTAGCATCACAAGCAAAAATCACAAGCAATATATTTCTTTTAGCATCACAAGACAAAAGTGTGTGAATTTTATTTAGATGTCATATAACTTGAAATGCAGTAGTGTTTCATACTCACCCATGTTTACTCTTTTATTAAAATCAAAAACTATTGTAACCATCTGAAGAAAGTCATATACGCGATGATGCTTTAGGGACACCAAGTGAGAAGTATGAGTCATGTAAATTACCACCTCAAACTAGATTATTTTTGTAGTAAGATTAAGGACATTGGGTTTTGAGATGTATGTTGCCCTTTCAGATGCCTAACTCAGAAGAGCTTTCAAGGATGTAAGTAAGCCTTTTTTTTTTTCTTAGTTACTGTTAAATCCAAAGTAGAATTGGGCCAGGACAGAAAATTGGAGTATCTTGACCCATACACAGATATTATTCACAACTGAATTCTTAAGATAAGGGAGACTATTGCAGCGTAACTTGCCATTTTGAGAATTTCTTGGAGCTTCAGGCAGATTCCTGATTTGAAAAACATATGTTAAGATACAGCATAGAATTTAGAAATGTAGTAACTGCTTCTGTTAGGAAGTGCTGCTGCTGCATCCACACAGGTTGGCAGAAACTGTAAAACTAGGCTTCAGGTCTGCAACCAAAAGGGCTGGACCAGCCTCATCTGAAGAATTTAGGTTTACTATTGGGGGGGGGGGGGGAGGAGGAGGAGGGAATGAATCCCCTTAGCATCTCATGTAAGATTTAAAGGCTTTTATAAAGTCCAACAAATTTCTTCCATCCATTTTCTGCTGACTGTTGAAGAGCAATGGCAGATTGAAATATGTCACTTGCCTTGCTAATGTCTTTTTGAGTTGTTTTATCACAATAGTCATTGCTCTACTTTTAATTTCAGCTGGTTCTTTAATCTTACTTTCTACTACATGGTGATTTATAGCTAAGCAGCTAAAAGCATAAAACAAAACACATTATCAGTTTAAGATAGGAAACAGAGGCTAACTTTAACAATGTGAGATTAAACTGCTTCTGAAAAATGCTGTATGTCACTGCAGGTTGTCTATAAATTATGTGCATACACGGAATATTCATACAAGATATATGTATACAGTAAACATATGAAACATGTGTGATGTTAAGCATTTGATCTGGTTAAGACCAATGGAAACTGAAGTTTCCAAACCCAGCACAGGAGATTTTCACAGCATCCAGTCATAGGTATCTGTTTCACAGGGAAAATGTAGCCTTTCTTCCAGAGCTCTGACAGTTTGCTTCCATACACATGTTCACAAAATGAGGCTTCAAAAAGCTCTGGCTTCTTTTTCATTTACTTCCTCTTGGGTCCACAATACTAGTTTTGATTCAGAACAGCTTAATAGGGTTGTTTCTATTTTCTTTGTCAGCAGTCTGGTACAGTTATTACTATGAAGCAAAACATTCCAATGCACAGTGTTTCTAGTAGGTCATTAATTTTATGTTGAAACAGAAAAACTTTTTCTCTATTTCTCCTGACAGTTATTCCTGATTTTGTATTAGACCAAACTTCTACTATCTTTATTGCTGCTTAAACTTTTCTGAAACCAAAGAAAGACTATTTCCAGTTAAGCTTATAGTACATAATAAATGGCAAATAAGATTTGCATAAATATGTTACCCTCTTCCAAAGCATTAATGTGTTACCCTTTGATTAATTGACACTATTTGTTCTTTCTCCTTTGAAATTAATGGGGGAAGAGTTTAGACGTATAGGCATTTTGAAATAAAATATTGGCCTGTAGGCCATGGACTAGTGAGATATTAAGCATACTTCTTTCTACATTACTTACAAAATGAGGAGAAATCACACAGCTGACCACACTGCAGCTACTTAATGTTTCTGTAAACAGATCATAATAAGCATGTGGTATACATGATTGTCTGAGCTGATAAATGAAAGGGTGTGGATTGTTCAGCATCACTGGAAGGAGGGGAACATGAAAAAAATCTTCCTGATTGCAGCTGCAAATGGTAGCAATTTTTCCTTCCTGCGTTAATGAATATAATTCATGTAATGCATAATACTCCATTCAACAGCAAAATTCTCACGTCCAGTTCACAGACATAAAGTCTTTTAATTAAGAATATCAATGAGTAATGACAGTCCACTTCCAGAAAAAGCAAAGAAAGATGCTTCTTTGGCCATGTAGAAGGAGCTGTGATGCAAATATAATTTATCAGTGTAATAAATTCACTTTCTTAGAACTCTTACCAAAAGAATATCCTTTAATCCATGTTCTTATTTATTTGTCTGTTTTCCCCTTGTAACCTTCTTTACATGCAGTATTTGACTGCAAACCTACATTTTACATTTTACAGTCTCTAGTGATCAAATCACTTCATCCTCCACAAACATCACAAATTAAAAGAGCTTTCATCTTTTAAATTCCAACACAACATACACAAAGCTAAAATAATTCATTGTCTAGAGACCATAATAAATTTTAATGTGCATTTACAGAGTAAACAGAGGGCTGAAAGGGGCCAAACCAGTGGAAGTGAGGGTACGTTTTACAAAATCCACACAGTACTGAAATACAAACTAAAAAGTGATGTTTTGCAAAAAAAAAAAAAAAGAAATAAAGATGCCTATTGGCAGCATGACGTACAGATATTATTAAAAACTGGCTTGCATGAGGACCAAAGTATGTCTACTCTGAAGTTATATCACACAGACTGTAAGCAATTTACAGAATTTAAGTTAGTTTTGCATATACAGGAGTTGCAAAATTAGAGAAAACACACTGAAATATAGAACACACACCAAAAAAAACCCAAAAAGATGTATATATATCTATATATATATATATAAACCTCCGCGCAATCATCAGGGGTTGGCCTCAATAGTTGCCACCAGTGAACAAGAAACAAACAAAAGATAGGAAAAAAACTCATAGGCTAAAAATAATAATAATAATTGAAACAAAAAAGAATCTAAAGAAAAATAGCCTAATTTGTTTTCCAGAAAGAACATCCTCTAGTCTGTTTAGTTGCTTTGTAGATTGTTTTTTAACTCCTCCTTATTCCTCATATTAAAAAAAAAAACACCAAAAAACGAAAAACCACAACAACAAAAAAGAGAAAAAACGAAAGGATTTTTGGTAAAGTTTGTGGGGTGTTTTATTGGTGTCGATGTTTAAACCACAATGTTTTGTTTCATTGTTTGGCCTGTATTTGCTTCCAGGCTGGAATGGTTCTTCCAGTGTAGGAAACAAAATGTCATCCATCGTTAATTTTGTAATACTGATAACTCGCAGGCCAACCCCTGAGAAGTCAAGGACGAGGCTTCTCCTTGCCGAAAGAAAAGGAAACTAAGTCTTGCTGTTACAAAATGCTTGATTACATCACACCAGTTCTCTTCAAATGAAAGATCAGTGATATGCCAAAGAAAATAAGATATATCAAGAAAACATGTGGTATCCTCTTCTTTTTATAATATTTATTTATTTATTTTATTTATTTAGTAATTTTGTTTGTACTTCCTGAAGAAGGTGCTCCTTGTGTAGAGATTTAGAGTACATTGGGTGCAGAGTGGTGGTTGGAGGTTAGGGTCAACTTTGCTGTCCGCTCCGTGGATTTTACAGGCGATTTGCTCTTTGCTTTAAGAAGAGAAAGTGATATTGGAAAAAGTCAGCACTTTTAGATTAAAGCAAAGCACCCTTCACAAAGCCACAAACAAGAAGCAGGACAGAAAGTCCATGGCTTGTAGCTATCCTCGCACCTGCGGAAGAAGTTATAAGATATTCGCTCATCTTGCAGATTTCCAATGCTCCTTATAAGGCTGTTTTAAACACATACATTTATTTATTTAATTAGCTCGCCAGGTTGGCTCTGGTGCCCATGAATGTCTTGGCATGCACTGCAAATAACAACACATACAAAGTATTTCAGTCCCAGGGAGTTTTTTTGCTTTGTTTTGCTTTTGTTTCTTGTCTGTCTTTTAAAACATTATCCAGAAAAACCATATATACCAAGAGGAACAAACCCAAATACCTTCCACCTCAGCGTGCTCTTTACAAAATCATTTCCAGCATCATATCAGCTGCTAAAAAAAATGTCATCTACTGGCTAGAGTGTTTTCTTGTAAAACAGAGGAGATACTGGCAAATGGCTGTGTTATTTACAAGGGGGAAACAGATTGCTAAAAAGTTTGGACTATTGTTGAGAAATTATGTTTTCATAGATATTTTTTCTTTTTAAAAAGCTATGAAAACAATGGTACATATTATTATTTCTAAATCCATGACTTTATATTTTAAGTATGTTGTTGAAATAAAAACATTTAGAACTAGATTAATTAAACTCAAATGTTTGCACACCAAGGATATAGCTATTTAGATGTCTTACATACCAAGTCTCAGCACTTGATAACTCCCTATTATCATAAAGAATTACATTCAGAATTTATACATATTACTTGAGGTGAAAACCATAATTTAGTTACAGTATGAATAAAAGTTCAAATTATAACAGGTTAATGTATGATGAATAGCTTTTATAGATGTGTTGTATACTTGAAAAGAATGAATGTTATTGATGGGTACAGGCATCAATTCTATAACAAAGTAATAATGGTGTTATAAGCAATCCATAATAATGCTGGACTTTTAACAACTGGTTATGTTTTAAAAAATCTATTAAACATGTATAAGCTGTTTTTGTAAAAAATTTTATATTAAACTGAATGCAGGATTCCATTGCAACCCTAATAAGCACATTTATCTTCTCATCAAGAATATACACAATGAAAACAAAAAGAACTTAATGCAAATGCTGATTTTTTTTAAGGTTTTCAGGTGTTTTGTACAACATTTGTCCAGCATTTCTCTGTGTCCACTAACAATGTTTGTAAGTATCGCAAGAAGCCTTTATGTTCCTGTCTTTGGTAATTTTTTCCCTTCAAAAATGGGGTTTAAACTAAATCCCAGATCTCTGAACACTGCTTCATTTTGCAAATCCATGGTTTGAGACATTACATACATAGTAGTTGCCATTCTGTCACATACACAAGAGCTTCTAAGCAACAGTGATATTTCAATTATCCATGTGTGAACTGAATTTCTAAATGAATATTAACATTTAAATGGAAACATGTCTCAAAGACATTGCTAAGATTTTCAAATAAGTCCAAGGGATCTGTGAACTTCATTCCTACTGAATGTAGGCACGAGTGGGAAGCCTACTTTTCTCTTGCCCATATGACAATGCTACCCTACCTGTCGTACACTGCAGTAGTTTGCTGGGCTTATTAAAAGACTTGTTCTGCATTAGGTCATAAGCAAATTTGTTGTAACATCTTGCTGTGGGTTGTTCTCATACAGATAGTGTTTATAATCTTGCCCCGAGGGTTGAGTTTAATTTCTGTTTGGTTATACTGCAGCATAGTCTTGTTCTCTGTTTTACACAAGATGTAACATTTGTCATTTGTCACATTTTTAAAAAGGCTTTTCTTTCCCTAAGTTAGAAGAACTTAGTTAAAATCCTTGTTAGCTTTAGATAATTTAATGGCGTATTGAATTATGTTCACTTGGTTTATTGAATTTTTTTTTTTTTTTTTTTGATTGAACTAGAGAAATACACTGCTCAAGACAATTCCAAAGAGGTCTTTGGAGACCCATTTCCTCTGCACAAAATATGTACAACACAAATAAGGATAAACACTCAGTAGAGTCTCATGGATATTTTTATAAGAGCTTTTTTAACTGTTAATGGCATTATAATTTGAGAATTTGAAAACTGTAATGTGTGGAAGAGAAACAGTATGATACAAAATAGGTTTGACAAACTACTTTGCAGTGGGAAAAGCAGCACCATAATATTTGTAGGCAAAGCATTATTTGATATTTATTTTGGTCTGTCTTTTTTTTTTCCAGTATGTTAGTCTGTAGATTTCCAAATTAGGGGTCATATATTGCATAAACATGAAGCCTTTTTATTTATAATGTTCAGGTTCTGCATAAATCATGACTTTCCTCCAATTCAGGGCACATGTCCTAATTGCATATTCTACAGTGACATATACTATGAAGTGCACCCTCATCTTTTCAGTGATTCGTTATGAAATACAGTTGAAGTTTAAATATATTTAGGTTTCTTTTTTTTCTGGAGATATGTAAAAGAATTGTATGTTTTTCTTTCATGAACCCAACTATTTCTTCAGATTTTGTATGGGTGAAAGCTGCAAATGAAGAATAATAACATAGAAAAGCAAAAACCACCCTTTTTAGGTTTTTTTTTTCCTTTTTTCTATTCTGTCATATCTGCTCATACTCTATTATTTTGGTTTTCATCTTTATAAAGGATAAATGACCAGAAATAGGCAGAATTTTCCATTTTGACCATGAATCTAAAAGTTATAGGGTGTTTAAATGAAAGATTTAGTTTCACTATTTTTCGACTCAAGTGTGAAGCAAAGTACGGATCAGAATCCAAATGTCTCTAAACCACAAAGTATCCACATTCAGACTTTTCACACATATGTGGTTTTGGTGTACATTTCTGACCAGAACTTAAACAGTATCACTGTAACAGCGAGCACAGCAATATAAGTAAAAATCTGTTGATCTGGCTGTGAATTTGCTAAATCATTACTCATTTCCCCACCCTTTCTAACACTATCTTTTCTTTAACATAACGAGAGCTAAAAGAAATTTTGCTGCAGGTCAGTAACACTGGATTGAACTATGTTAGCCTCAAAGACAGCAACCTGGACAAACAACAGTAATATGTATACATATATTGGTTTTATATAGGGGTCAAGGATTTTCATATTTTGACCTGTCAGCACTGGCATCCAGTTAAATGCTTCCTGTGAGATATAAATGCCCATGTGTTGTCTTTTGTTTCCTGCCACTGACATATACCCAAAAGAGCAAACATTAATGAAATACTCAACCTTCTCCAGCAAACAAATTCTGTGTTGTCAAACGTGATCACAGGATAAGTTTTGTGCAGCAACATGAAAAGGTAGTTAATGATATTAAGCTCTGTGATTTATTCAAATACATGATTTACTTAAATACTAGGAAAACATAGATAAAACAATAGTGATAAATAATTGTGATCTCAGTGTTTAAGATGGTCATAGAATCATAGAATGGTTTGGATTGGAAGAGACCTTAAAGATCATTTTGTTCTAACCCCCCTGACATGCGCAGGAACACCTTCCACTAGACCAGGTTGCTCAAAGTCCCATCCAGCTTGGCCTTGAACACTGCCAGGGATGAGGCAGCCACAGCTTCTCTGGGAAACCTGTGCCAGTGCCGTACCACCCTCATAGTGAAGATTTTTTTCCTAATATCTAATCTAAATCTCCCCTCTTTCAGTTTAAATTCATTTCTCCTTGTGCTGTCACTATACACGCTTGTAAAAAGTTCCTCTCCAGATTTCTTTTAGGACCTGTTTTAGGTATTGTCAAAATATCCTTGCATATATATGGGGGGTATATATTCTGCTTCTGCTGAATATGAGTTGATTTTGCTTTAAAACTGGTTTCTGAAAACACAGGGGTGTTGAAAGCTTGGAAATTTTATTTTTCAGGAATTTGTGCTGATATTTTCTATCTTTAATACCTGGTTTGCTATTTTGCAACACTCAGATTTGCTTTTAGTGTTAGATTTAAACCAACCTCCTTGTCAGCCACAGCAGAAATCACATGAAATCATAATTTTGTATTATTTTCATGTAAAGTAAGTAAAAATTAATGAAATACCTGCCTTAATTTTACTGGGTATATTAACGAACCATAAGATTTATTTGAAGACATTTGCAGTTTTACATCCATAAAAACAGATGAGACCAAGTATGGTTGATTTTATTTAAAGTTTGATTTGTCTTTCACAGGTCTTTCTTAAATAGATTCTTCCTCTCTGGTCTATGAAGTGCTATCATTTTTATTCCTCTAAATGAAGAAATCAGTGTTTCCTACAGCTCTTCTGTATTGCTGGAATATATATACACACTCAGGAAGAAAATTCCCTTCCACAAAGATAAGATCCCCTTTTACCTCTTCAGGGGAATGACTTGTGAAATTTAACATTCTATCACCTGTGTTTGATTTTGGGGAACTGAATGACAAAAGATGAGCAGTAAGTAGCATATTCAACCCTCCTAAGGTAAGCAGTTTTGCTTAGACTTCTACATTTTTCATTGGCTGTACGGTAGTCAGCCTAAAATAGTATGAATTATCTTTGGCAAATATACCACACAGGGCTAAGAAATTCATCTTACACACCAGAAGAAAAGTTCTGGCTTTCATGGGGGTATTTTTATTTGTTTGTTTGGGTTTTTTTTTGTTGGTTTCTTTTTTGTTGTTTTTGTTTTTTGTTTGGTTTGTTGTTTGGTTGTTGTTGTTGTTTTGTTTGGGATTTTTTTTTTACATTTTGGAAGAAAACTACTGTGTCCAAATTGATGCAAATTTAGAATAAGCTGTGTATTGAATTTCCCTGAAATCTACTTATACTTTGCATCCAGAATGCAGCTCTGGTCATCTGCTGTGTGTTACTTTTTTGCCAGTGATAACCAGAACAGAGGTAGAAGAGGGATGGGTTCCCAAATGGATGGTTATTCCCTAGCTTTCACTAGGTAAGGTGCCCAGTTGAACTGAGGAGTTCAGTCCTGTCATGGTGTGAAAGAAAGTGGCTACTTTCCAAACCTGAGTAGAGGAGAGACTTCTGCTGGAGTTTTGAGCTACTGAGTTCAGAGCTCCTGAAGCTCTTTCTG